CGGTAACAAAGCCAACGATTTATGGCTGCGATTTATTGCCGTATTTATAGCGGGCCCCACGCCCGTTCAAGTTCGCATTCGGTTGCACCGCGATAAGGGAATGCAATTTTTGGAACACCGCCTCCGAACGCGGTTACCTTCCACCTTCTTCGTTGGCCGCAGCGAATGATGGGTCTGCTATCATTTCCTTGGAATGCAACCTAATCGATTCTGTCTGACAAACGTAACAGTACCTCTACGAGAATCCTATTGATAATTTCAATCTGTTCTATTTTTGTGATCAAATTTCTTGCTCTATTTTACCCAAAGAATGTCCCATTGAGATTCTCCTCGAGCACTTGTTCGCAGAATTGTCCCTGATGTTTACGAATGACCTGGGTCGGTGATATTCGATTTTCATCAAGCTCTCCCCCCAAAGCTTTCAGCGACAGCCGCCCGAGCTATCCGTGTGGCGAACGACGCTCGATTCTTCAGAGCCGAGACTAATCTTCGCGTTCAGATGGACGGTACTTCACTGTCACCCCGGCCGTGACAATACAATACCGCAGGATCGTGGAATCGCTGCTCCGTTTCGTTTCGATCCTCGCTCCTTCATCTGTCAGCATCAGGTGGCCTCCGTTCAATTTATTCGCCTTGTCGCAACCGTTTTTTCGGTGACTAATGAACCATTTTAGATATTGCCAGTACAGAAAGTGCGCGCACCGATGTAAGGTAACAGGGTATGACGTTCAATAAAGCGGATGGTTATCGATCAGATTAGGTCGTGGCCAGGCGAGATTAAAAATGAATATTCATGACAGAAGTGAGTTCTATTAAAACATAACACGAATCGATTAACTGTTCCCGGTTCAATTTATTTCTGTCGCCTCGTATTTATCCATGGCCTCGCTGACTTTTGCGTATACATTTAAACGAATCTGCCGCGGTACACCTCTGGTTTAATTAACTTTGAAAGAAAAGCAGCCGCACTAATTTCTCGATTCGCTTCGTCATTCGGAATCGACGGGGACAAAAGTAACGGAGTAATCAAACCGGATTATCTTCTCAGTCAATAGTTCCCAAGATAATCGACGCTGCGTCTAAATCCGGCGCGGAAACAAAAGCAACCCGATGGCGTAATTAATCTTGCCCGTCACGAGCTAACCGACAATGCGAGCCAACGAGATACTCCGCGGTGTGTCTCGTTTAATCGATTACCGGATACCGAACAGAAGCAAAACAACTACAGGAAACAAGGGAGAACAAAAAGTTTCGATCGCAATCTCGAACCAGCTCGGGGTCTTGAAAAATTGCCTCCCCGCTAATTATATTCCAAACAACCGCCCCAAAACACGGCCGTCCGGTTAACCCCTGAACCCCTTCCAGTCTTATTCTTTGCAGAAAAATATGTTATCGCTTTTTATCCATTGAGATTTGCATGAGCTGTAGAAAGCACATTGTAATCGATTAATCCTTTCGTTAAAAGAAGCGTGTGCGTGCGTCTTAAAAAAAAATCACTTTATCTTTGAACGAGCGTGGCGAACCGGCGAGTCGAATCAGAACCTCGTTTCTTATCCTCCGGTCATTAAGGCGGTAATCGCGGTGGCTGCGGCTCCCTCCACCTTTTTTTCCCTTCTGTTTCCCCTTTCACGGGTCGCGTGAACCCGCCATAAATCGTCCACGAAGCCGATAGTTCGCCGTGGCACCATGGCAATGACGTACGATCGACGCGGCCCCATAACTTAAGGCGGAATCAAAAGCCGATTACCCGCCTTCTGTCAGTCTCGCTCTCCTTCTCGCTTCCGCGGACCGAGCCTCGGTACCCTTCGCTCCACCCATCGCTCGCCACGGTGGTGCAATTTATCGTATTAACAAATTACCCTCTCGCCTTCCTTCGCCTCTTAATGTATGCGCCAGCTCAGACGCCGTGCCGCGCCATCCGACACTTTCTCTCTCCACGATCCCCGCCTGCTCTGACCTTTCCGCGAGAATCCACGATCTCCTGGATCCCGGATCGCGGTGATTAAGTGCCTAGATCTAGGATAAGTGTTTTCTCTTTTCCGCGATCCTTGTTTCCTCGTCATTTGTCCAGCGCGTCTCCTGCAACTCTCCCATTCTTTCCTAAATGCTAATAGAGAAGTGAGACACTAACAGATTCTGATCCATTAACGTTCCCGTTTACAATGTTTTATAAAGATTGCGATTTAGTAATTTCCGAAAAGAGAGTATCCATTTAATCCGGCGCGTTTTATTACTTTGCCGTTTGGTACTCGCAGAAAAAGTACGCGAACAAAAGTTTCATTTCAACCAGTAGCAGGAATCACGCGGACTGAAAACCGTGGTAAAAAAAGAATTCCATAGGAAAGAGCATAGAAACCAGAGAATAGTAACGGACTAGGTATCGCCTGTGACACCAGCTAGACCTAGATTCGAATCTCGAGCTTGTCCCCCGGGGCCTTTTCCACCCTTTTTTTCTCCGCTGAACTACACGTGTACCCGTCGCTACGGACAGACGTATTGCACACTCTCGACACACAAATCTTCGGTTCCGTGGCTCGCTTGATCGCGCAACTGATTGCTGTCACGAGCTCCGTTGTATAACCGGTCCGCTAGACAAAAGCGGTAAAACACCTCGCAATAACCGATCGACAACCTCCTGTGTTCACGATGATACGTACTCGCGTTATCTTTTGTACAATGGATCGAACGATAACGATCGATTGATTAATTTAGCGAACGATACGAACTCAATTTGCGCGAGCAAATTCATTTATCCCGTATAATACTGTTTCAGAACTAATTCGAGAGGAGGAACAAGCGTTCACGTATTTCGCGGTCCCTCGAAACAATTGGGAAGAGGCAGAGGAGGTAGGAATCTGCTCGAGAAGGAAACGCGTGGCAGAAGACACGGCGCAAATTCGACGACGGACGTCGATGTACCCCACGGACCGAGTAAACAGGCTTACGAAGCGTGTAGCTCCGTGCTCTGCGCTATTTACGTTCGCCCGTTTTGGTTGGTTTCGCTCGGAGTGACTTGTAACCGGGTGCATCGCAATTTGTAAAGTCACCCGAAGAGGTGGATACGAGATTGGGATTTGCTTTACGATCTCGCAAGAAAATTTATGCAGATTGCTTCCTTGTTTTCTATCCTGACGCGGTACAGGGAGATCGAGCTAGGCAAATTTTATGGACTAATTTACGAACAAGATGGAGCAGTCTTCAAATAGATCGTCTAAACGTACAGACTTCTAAGGGAACTCATTCTAATTAATTCGTCTATTAGAAGGATCGTCGCGTTCCATCAGTCTTTTTGTGGAGGACTGTACGCGCCTAGGAACGCAGCTTCGGCGTGCAAAATACGCGGCAAATTTACTGCTCTTTAACCGCGGATGTCGTGGAATTCCCGCGACGGAATTGTTCTGAAACTATGCGGTTACGTTTTTTGTTTGCGCACGACAAAAATCCCGACTGGACGGCATTGCCGAGCGGTTTTAGAAAAGCTTCGTCAACTTTTTATTTCCGTGAAACTCGCTTCTTGTGCAGAGAATTCGTATGAATGAGATTTAATTGTTGTTCTCCGCTTCTTCCTTAATTTGAACAATCATAGGTCTCTGTTTTTCGGATTACTTTTCCATGAACGTGGTCGATTAAATGATAATAGCACGCGAGTGCATCAAAAGTTGAAATACACGATTCTCGCCCCTTCGGTGTGGAGGGATAGGCACCCCGTTTTCCACGCATAACAACAGCAGGTGGATAAAGGGTGTTGCGTGCGGGAGCTTCCGCGTTAACGGAAGCGTCGGTGGCGCCGATCTGATTGGCCGATCCTCCACGTAATTGCCTGTAGATCCCGATCGCGATTAGCCGGGGAAATTAATACGGTTCCGGATACGGAATTTATGCGACTCCGACGTGGATTATGCATATACGATGGCCGGCAATAACCGCGTCGTTACGACGACGTTATCGCGCGTTTCGCCTCGCGGAAATCTCTCCGTCTTTTCGATTTTCCGCGGGATAAACAGGCCGTGATGAGCAAATATTATAGGACGAAATTTATAGAGCCTCGTGATCGTGGGTCAGTTTCCAAATTAGGTGTTACGGTCGGAATTCCTCTGGGTCGAAGTGTCGGTTTAGAGTTCGCGCAACTTCATGGTCATGGGAGTGTGTACGGAATAATTTGCAAATGGTAATAAGGAATTCCATGGATCCTTTGTTATACATTCACATGTTCCATCAAAGTTCGTATTTATGATTAAATTGTATATTACTCGATACCATTCTATCGACAATGATGAACACTGCGATACTATTATACATTGACAAACCTTTTCCGTTTGGTGAATGCGAAAGGAGGTAGACACCTGGCCGAACGTGAAACCTGTCCCGTTTCCACGGTATCAGCTTGAAAGGATGGTAGGTCCTGCATCCCCAGAGCGGCAGGTCAACAGCCATTGTCCGACGGAATTACCACTGGCTCCTGTGATTAAATGCCGCCCCTTCTCCACGATCCTTGGAAGAGGGCCGCGAGGGGGACAGGAACGTCGAGGGGGTAGGACGAAGGGATACACGCATACCTATACACGAGGGTTGGCATCCTCGCATACCTATAGCCTCCTCGAGCCTGCCAGAATCTGCCTGGTCCCCCTCGCTCCCATGTTCAGAGGGATAATGCCCATTGTTTCGAGCATCCCACGCATCCTTGCTCCTGGACAGCGATATCTAGTAGAGAGACCCAGGTTGAAATGCCCGCGACGCGTCCGAATGGCAGTCAAATGGTCGGCTAAATGCACTCGCGACTATATTCTGTTTAGTCCGTCTCGCGATCCACCCTTCCCCTCGGAACTCCCGGCATTCAGGTGCAGATTAGTCCCTGTTACTTCCGTTCTTCCTATTATCAATTCATTGTCGCAAATCTCGGGAGTTTTAATGGATCAATTTTATACGTGTTTAATTGAAACGTTTATAAGGATAATACTAGACAAGGATTGATGGATTAGGTACAAGTACGTTGACGAGACTTAATCACATTTGCTATAAACCAGCTTTATGTACAAACACGATATCCTATACAACGATTGTTTCTACGTTGACATCTCTTATAACATAGATTTCCGTTCTCTTATATGTACAAAACATTGTAAAATTGTAAACGATTGTATCCGTTAGTGGGCAGTGATGGTCTTAGGAGACTTAGATCCAGGGACCCAAGCGACTTTCGAGAACGTTGGCTGCGTCCACTCGTCCCATCAGTCTTAAGTGATTCAGTAGGTCGGCGAGAGCCGTTGCCTCCTGGTGTTTCGCCTCCCAGAGGTCCAGGATGTGCTCCGTCGGACTGGACTTAGTGGCGAAATAGTCCACGTATCTAAACAAAGATCGCAGTTTTTTTTCTTTCATTCTGTCCTGTTTACATGTACGAAGCTCACCTATCCACTTGAAGTCTTTGGGCCAGCATCCTCCAGTCGTTTCCACGCGCACTGGGTGGATCCAAACACTGACACAGTTGCTTTCTCAAAGTTTTAGAAAATCTTCGATTCCAAAATCCATACATACAATTAGTGAATTGCATCTAACGTAGAAAAGTGATTGAACGAAGGTGTTAAGTGTTACCTGAATGGTCTGGGAACGACCGATTCCGTCGACCTGGTCGAATTCTTCCCACGCAGGATGATGGATGACTCGGCCTTCGCTATCCTCTTCCCGCTGGAGCCGTTCCTCTTCATCAGGTCGAGGTCGATTCTCAAGAACAGCGCGTGCTCCTCGAAGCCGCATTGGCAGGCGCGCAGCTCGAAGCTCAGCCGCAGATCACCGACGGTTTTCTCGATCCTGAACGACCTTCTTATGCTGGTTCTCGTCGACGACCAAAGCCTGCGGTGCTGTATCTCTTGTCGCTCGACAAACCCGCTCTCTCTGTCCTCCAAATCGATCCGTAATGGGGAACCACCTGCTCTGAAACCTAGAGTCCCATGCTCGATGCGGGTTCCACTCAGCCGTCGTTCCTGTTATCGATTTCCCAAGTGTCACCCGAAATTTAAGGTCAAAAAGTAAAGCTCATAATACATCTCAATAAAATAGAATTTAAAATTGTCTCGACATTAACCTGTTCCATCACAAGCTTGAAGGCAGCTTTGGTATCCTCCATCAAGTGACACCTTATGTGATCCCTCTCGCGAGAGAGGAACACCGCCACGCAGATTCTCTTCACTGCCAATCCGGGAGCCACCACAGAATTCTCCCCAGCTACGGCGTAAACGCTGGGAGTCTCGGTAACTAAGAAAACACCCGAGTGATCGAGCTGCGCGAACGGTTGTCCCGGGAGATTGATAGGTTCGCCGCCCAGAGTCAGGATTTTTCTCCACATCGACGCGGATGCGAGACTTGAGTTTCCAGAAGAGTTAGAAGAGTTATTGGACCGAGTCTCCATGTCCAAATCCGTGGACCAGAGACTCAGTTCCCAATTTCCTGTTCTTAACTCGGCACAGTGTTCGAACTGAAGGATCACCGGTTTCACTAGATCGACGTTGTTCGGCCCGCAAACCACCACTGCTGACAATAATGTCAAGCCAGGTGGCAGACCGGGTCTCAAAGCGTCGTCCCCGAGGACTGCCAGGTGCAGGCTGTGCCTTCGTCCGCGGGGTATCGCTCCCTCCGGGACGGACATAGAGACACCGACTTCGGGAACCACCAGTAGTGCACCTTGTTCATCGACCACTGCTCTCACGACGAACCCACTCGAATCCTCATGATTCCTATCGCTCTCACTAGGCCTATCGTCGTCATCGTGCTCGTCGTCCTCTTCGTTAGTGCTCTCCTGGTTCGCGTGGCAGGTGGAACCTGAGAATCGAGTATTACGACTAGACTGCGGATTTGTATGCAATAATAAAATATGAAAGCGTGCACCTTATGTAGCATTTTTTTTATTATTTAAGGACGTATAGGCTATACATATACTTAAACAATGCTGGCATGTTGAATTTGTTATTATAGACTCCTATTA